CACCCACTGAAGGAACCTCCGTGAGGCAGGTAAATATCACTGAGGCCTTCCTTAATGTTTCTGGAAAAACACAGTGTGATGAAATGGAGGTTACCTCTTCCCTGGATTTATACGAGAACTAAACAAGGGATGAGGTGCCTCACTACAATCTGGGATTAGTGTTGGAGTATTATCCTTCCAGTTATGTCTTGGAAAAGCATGTGGGATGGGACAAAGTACCTGACATTCCTCTGGGTACAGAGTTGGATTTGACTTCAGATACGCTGCCAACTAGTGGCGGCGTATCTGAAACTCACTCATAACTCGGATTTTTGCTCACAACTTTAAGTATAAAATCAACCGAGTGATGGCTCATAACTCGGAAAACTCACAAGTTGGGGCACTCATAAGTCAAGGTACCACTGTACTAAACTCACAAGGGTCATACAGTGCTGTTCACTATTTAAAGCTTCATTTCTGCTCATATTTACATTTTAATTATGAAAATCCTGTGCATATTTATGAAAGCTTTGATGCTATACACAGCACTGTATGACCCTTACAGATTTAGCACTTATGATTATAATAAAAATAATTTGATGCTGTAGGGCTCAATCCAAGGATCTCGAGCTACCACCTTTCTAATATTAAACTTGATTATCCCCCTATTCCCCAGGAGTTCCATGATTCCAATGATCCCCATGGGTTTAGTCTTTCCCTGATTAAAATGAAAATATGATTCCTATAGGTTTAGCACTTCTGAAAAACTGGTACTGTATGTTTAATAATGCTTATAATACATATAAGACCTGAATCAAGAGTACCGTAATACAATTATCACAGTCCTGCATATAGGCAGCATAAAAAAATCGCAATAGAGATAAGCTCAAGCATCATTATACTCTACCTAATGGCCGGCTTCTTGTCCCTGCTGCCCTCCCCTGAGTTATATTCCCTGGCTCTCGATCTAAGGAAATGGACATGACCTCCCCTTTCCTTTCAACAAACTTTTTTTTTCTACAAAGTGGAATACATACAGAAAATTATAGTTACAATGATTGACATATTACTGCTTTATAGAAAGCCCCATATTTCAGGCAGCCTTAAAACTAAATTATGGTTACAAATATATGAGAATAAGAATACACAATCTTTAAAATATTGGAGGCATTTAGCAATTCAATAAAAAGTGTAATTAAAAGATATATTAAGGAAGAAGCTAAGTACATGTGATGAAGGAATGCTAGACAAGGACAGGGACAATACAGGTTGAAAGAATTGTTCAGCATAATTAATTTTTAAGCTCACATTAAAAGGAGGTTTTTTTTTTTTTTTTAACAGCAGCTAGCAGAGAGAGAGAGAAAGCAGTTTTCAGGAAGAGAGTTAAAAGATATTATGTCCTTTTATGCACACTGAGTTTTTGCAAAGATTAAGCTGGAAGGAGGGAATATCTGGGATTTTTGTGTCTAGTATTATGCCTATAAGTTCTGTTCCAACTATCAGGAAAGTTTCAGGGCAGGACTGATAATGGAATTTCTTGACCTGTATATGTAGTATGCACAGTAGTACAAGTGAATTTTTTGTATAGTAAGTAGGTTTAGGTCTTCGAAGGGTGGTGGATTGTCTCCCATCCCCTCCCCCCCCCAAGTGCTGTATGACCCCTAAAGATAAATAACAAAAAGGCACAATACCGTGACTGGAACAATACACAAATAACCCGCACATAAAAGAGAGAAGCTTGCGACGACGTTTCGGTCCGACTTGGACCATTGACAAAGTGACTTTGTCAATGGTCCAAGTCGGACCGAAACGTCATCGCAAGCTTCTCTCTTTTATGTGCGGGTTATTTGTGTAATGACCCCTAAAGATTTAGTGATCCCTCTATGTATAGTAATAGTTATCCAGTTAACACTAGATGTGGTTGCTCACATTTAAATGTATACAATCTTTCTGTGCCAAGACCCAAATGCAATGTACAAAACTTGGTACACTATTTAAGTTATTAATCTGATTCTAATATATATAGTATCACTATTTTATATATACATGTATAAGCAAGAATTTTTACTTTTCTCAACATGCTGGCCGTCTCCCACCGAGGCAGGGTGGCCCAAATAAGAAACACCTTCACCATCATTCACACATAATCACTGTTTGCAAAGGTGCCCAGATATGACAGTTTAGATGTCACTCCAAACAGCCAATATTTCAAACCCCACCATTAAAGTGCAGGCATTGTACTTCCCACCTCCAGGACTCGAGTCTGGCTAACTTGAAAATAATCAGATAAACATGAAACATAGGAAAGCAGTGATTGAACATATTTTGAAAAACATAGTTTAGTAATGCTGTACTACCTGGAGTTTACCTGGAGAGGGTTTCAGGGGTCAACACCCCTGTGGCCCGGTCTGAGACCAGGCTTCATGGTGGATCAGGGTCTGATCAACCAGGCTGTCACTGCTGGCCGCACGTAAGCCGACGTACGAACCACAGCAACCTACAGAAAACTGTTGATTTAATAGGAATGTTGAACAAAATCTGCTGGGGGAATCAATGGATAATGTGCATTAGTTTGAAGAACTGACTATTTTGGTTATGATTACGGCAAAATACGTTCAGAGATTATTTTCCAGTCATCTCTGCTCGTCTTTGCGGCCATTGGTAACAGCGGTGGTCGGTCATGCACCACAAAATGCCTTCTATTAAAGAGCTTTTAGGTTTGTGGCAATCTTACCACCATTGCCTACTCGGGAGACTGCACTCTCCCATTTCCACATTGGTCATACTCGCCTTACCCATGGGTATCTCATGGAACAACACCCTATTCCTCTCTGTGAGGTTTGTCAAGTCCCTATTTCAGTTCTTCACTTTCTTGTAAACTGCCCGGTTTACCAGTGAGCTCGCAAGATTTACCTCCAAAGCTGCCACCGCCGCCCTACCACTCTTACCTTATCTTCCCTTCTTGCAGACGACCCTGCCTTTGACTTACAATCACTATTTGACTTTTTGTCAGCAACTGCTTTACTATACAAACTTTGATACGTAGCCCTTTGCATTCCTTCCACCCCTTTTCTCCCTTCACCTCTGATCCCCTCTCCACCTAGCTGCTTATAGCCCCAGCACTATTTTCTGCCCCATAACGCTGTATAACCCTTGTCTGTTTAGTGCTTTCTTTGATTATAATAATATTATAGCAAAATAATTTTTTTTTTTATTATCACACTGGCCGATTCCCACAAAGGCAGGGTGGCCCAAAAAAGAAAAACTTTCACCATCATTCACTCCATCACTGTCTTGCCAGAAGTGTGCTTTACACTACAGTTTTTAAACTGCAATATTAACACCCCTCCTTCAGAGTGCAGGCACTGTACTTCTCATCTCCAGGACTCAAGTCCGGCCTGCCGGTTTCCCTGAACCCCTTCATAAATGTTACTTTGCTCACACTCCAACAGCATGTCAAGTATTAAAAACCATTTGTCTCCATTCACTCCTATCAAACACGCTCACGCATGCCTGCTGGAAGTCCAAGCCCCTCGCACACAAAACCTCCTTTACCCCCTCCTTCCAACCTTTCCTAGGTCGACCCCTACCCCGCCTTCCTTCCACTACAGACTGATACACTCTTGAAGTTATTCTGTTTCGCTCCATTCTCTCTACATGCCCGAACCACCTCAACAACCCTTCCTCAGCCCTCTGGACAACAGTGTTGGTAATCCCGCACCTCCTCCTAACTTCCAAACTACGAATTCTCTGCATTATATTCACACCACACATTGCCCTCAGACATGACATCTCCACTGCCTCCAGCCTTCTCCTCATTGCAACATTCATCACCCATGCTTCACACCCATATAAGAGCGTTGGTAAAACTATACTCTCATACATTCCCCTCTTTGCCTCCAAGGACAAAGTTCTTTGTCTCCACAGACTCAGTCCTAAGTGCACCACTCACCCTTTTCCCCCCATCAATTCTATGATTCACCTCATCCTTCATAGACCCATCCGCTGACACGTCCACTCCCAAATATCTGAATACATTCACCTCCTCTATACTCTCTCCCTCCAATCTGATATCCAATCTTTCATCACCTAATCTTTTTGTTATCCTCATAACCTTACTCTTTCCTGTATTCACTTTTAATTTTCTTCTTTTGCATACCCTACCAAATTCATCCACCAATCTCTGCAACTTCTCTTCAGAATCTCCCAAGAGCACAGTGTCATCAGCAAAGAGCAACTGTGACAACTCCCACTTTATGTGTGATTCTTTATCTTTTAACTCCACGCCTCTTGCCAAGACCCTCGCATTTACTTCTCTTACAACCCCATCTATAAATATATTAAACAACCACATTGACATCACACATCCTTGTCTAAGGCCTACTTTTACTGGGAAATAATTTTCCTCTTTCCTACATACTCTAACTTGAGCCTCACTATCCTCGTAAAAACTCTTCACTGCTTTCAGTAACCTACCTCCTATACCATACACCTGCATCATCTGCCACATTGCCCCCCTATCCACCCTATCATACGCCTTTTCCAAATCCATAAATGCCACCAAGACCTCTTTAGCCTTATCTAAATACTGTTCACTTATATGTTTCACTGTAAACACCTGGTCCACATACCCCCTACCTTTCCTAAAGCCTCCTTGTTCATCTGCTATCCTATTCTCCATCTTACTCTTAATTCTTTCAATAATAACTCTACCATACACTTTACCAGGTATACTCAACAGACTTATCCCCCTATAATTTTTGCACTCTCTTTTGTCCCCTTTGCCTTTATACAAAGGAACTATGCATGCTCTCTGCCAATCCCTAGGTACCACAATTGCCATTACCTGCTACTCCCTATTAGTCAGTTAAATCAAGGGTTCACTGTACTTAAATTACAGTATTTATTTTTTAATTTGTATAATAAAATTCTAATTTTTAAGAATTTTTCTATATGTTATAAAAAAAAACGACATGGGTAAACCCCTCAAACCAAAACCTCAGTAAAAAAAACTACTCAAGTTAATTCAAAAGACAATATAATGTATTTCATGGTAATTTGTCATAAATAAATTTACCCTTCTTTATTAACAATATAATAAAATTTAAACATGAAGCCCTTCTATATTAAATTAACATTAAAGTGTAAGTGACTGACACAAATTTTGCCAATAATGTAATATATACAATTAGGCATCTCATACCAATGTAACAGCATTTGACTACAGGGGGCCATATTACATAAATACAAACATGCTCATAACAGTTACAGTAGGGCCCCACTTATTTGGCAGGTTAGGTTCCAGGCTACTGCAGGAAAGCAGACTTCGCCGGAAAGCAGAACTCCATTTTTTCCATTTATAAATGCATATAAATGCCAGATAACAAGTTTACACTAACATATATTAAGTTAGCAATAGAACTAGGCATTGAAAAGTAAAATACACACACAGTACACTCATTATTTACCTAAATATATTTGTAGTCTTAATGTAGGGCAAAAGGTGAATAGTAGTCAGGTGTGGTAGCCCTCCTGGCCACCCCACCCACACATACTATACTACGATGCTTAAAGCTCCCTAGAGCGATAAAATACATATACACCAACCATCCGACTTACGACCTGCTCGACATATGACCACTCGACTTATGACCATGTTTTGTATGTCACATTTCTGGGAAATAAACAACTGTTTGAGTTGTACACAGTGTTTATCCTAAACCTTACAGTATAAAATACAGTACTAACAGCATAAAAAGTAAAGAAAAAAATGAAATGCCAAAATAAAACAATAAAATAAAATCATTACAAAAGTGTGATGTTGATATTCAGTAGTAAGGTTCGACTTACGTCCATTTTGGTTGGAACCAAGCTTGGTCGTAAGTTGGATGGAACCTGTACAGCACATGCATTACTTACCTTAAAATATTTGTAGTCTTAATGGTCTTAATGTAGGGCAAGAGGTGAAAAGTATTTATTTGTACAAAGTCGTGTGGGAGGTATGGCATTCTGCCTGGCCACTTATACCTACTATGACATTAAGCTCCCTAGAGCAATAAAATGCATATATAGTACACTCATTAATTACCTTGAAATATTTGTAGTCTTAATGTAGAGTGAGAGGTGAGTTTTATTTGTATGATGTCAGGTTGGTAAGTATGGGTAGCCAGGAAGGGCAGCCCTCCCAACCCCACCCCACCCACACAATGTAAACAATCCAGACAAACACGTCTGGTTATCGTCACTTTACACTGTATGCAAGTTGTCTCCATGTTGATACAGTAGAATAAATAAAGAGAAACACTCCCATTCTCATGTAACATTATTTTTAGAAGAAATGACACCCTGAGCGAAGGCATACGAAAGGAATAATTTTCCAGCTACCCCCAGTAATATTATAGTGTACACATTTTCTCTGATGTTAGACTACAAGTTGCCTGGCTACCACAAGTCCTACAAGTTGCCTGGCTACCACATCTCATATTTATGTTAATTTATTCTACTGTGGGGTGTATTTAGATGGATTAAGCAAAATGTTTATATTAACATTTTATACGATAGTTAATGCTCCTTAGTGATTATTATTATTATTATTATTATCATGATTAATATGGCATCTTCAAGACTAATAAGACACTTAGCGATTTTAATGTGTACCTGCATGCCAGCACAGTGTGTAAGTTTACTTAGGTACAGGTACACATACGTATAATTATCAGTTATAATAATAATGTAGGTATATAGTCCACCTGGGCTACATACCTACACCTACCTACATAACTACACGATATTTAATGTGGCCCAGAGCCATATTATTACCATCAACATACCATGTTCACGGAGTTTAATCGTTTATAACAACTACCTTTAGATGCCATCATAAACAAAGGGAGAAGTAATGAATAATTCAAGCGGAGAATTGTAAACAAAAGTGTTATGTATTAAGGGGAGTGACATAATGTTTTCCCTCCGCCCGGCTACCACATCTCCATAGTATATAAACAAAATGTTTATATGTTACGTAACTTGTTTCTTATATAATTTTGAAGAATATATAATAGATGGGTTAATGAAAATGTCTATATTTGTCTATATTAATGTAAAATAAGACATTTAATGTGCCCAAGAGTGATTATTATTAGTATTATGTAATGTTTTCCCTCCACCCGGCAACCACACCTCCATAGCATATAAACAGCATGTTTATATGCTATGGAACCTAACCTGCCGTATAAGTGGGGCCCTACTGTACAAGGAAGACCACTTTCTTCAACGAGTGATCTAGGGAGTGTTAGGACATCAACAGTAAAGCTCACAGTGTAGTATAAGTACGGTATGTATAAATCTTGAGCAAAAATATGATGTTTTCATCACACTACAGTAAAATATAGGTGCCTAAAAATATACTGAAATTAAATGTGCAATGCATTAAAGAAACACATTTGGAGAGGTGGAAAGATGAGGTATTCTTTAAATGCACTACAATCTTGGACATTTTGATCACACCAAAACCTGGTCATCGAAAGGCAAAAACCACATTGGCAGACCAGTTATAAATTGAAGACTCTACCTGCAAACAGACCTTATATATTGTAGGTACCAATTTTTGCAAATTCTCAAAATTCCATAACGATACCACAGTCAGATATTACTACATCACTTATGTTGCTATGCTTGACAGCGTTCTGTATTACATCAAGACCAAATTCAACTTGACCAAACGCAGCTTCCTCCACACAATTCTTTGAGTCCATTGTGTAAATGCGAAAAATAGAACTGGTATTTTTCTTTTCATATCGCCCAGCAACTAGCCCAGCTATGATGGGAACTGATCGACTCAATGCAGTCGTTTGTTCACTATCTAAGCCACTGGTGAATGTTACTTCTCCACTACCATCTCCATGTTCAAAATCACCCCCCCATATGCTTTCACCTGGGTAGCCCTTCCACCAAACACGGTGAAAGTTGGTGTTGCAGAAGGAAGGGCCCATCTCTCCAGTGCACAGCTTCAGAAACTGACGGCCTCTTACTGTATCACCTGTCAGCCGAATATAAACTCGACCACGAGTAGAACCACCCCAGGAAAGGTTAATGAATACGAGTGATGAAGTAGTATTCATACAGGATGTGAAGCACTCCAACTGTAAAATAAAAAAAAATAATAATAATAAATGCCAAAAACTTTCACACACACACACAAAAAAATAAAAATAAATCCTCTAAAGTTCACCCAGCTCAAGAAGTGACCCATACAGGGGGATGCCTTGCTACCAGTGCAGGGCTTGATGCAAGGAAGTAAAGTAAAAAAGTAAAAGATATCTTTCTAAAGGTTATAATGTGTAATTATAATTTTGGTTTGCTAAGTACAAAGAAAGTCACTATCATGCCGGGGCACTTCGGGCAGACTAATCCTAGTACATAATAACTACTTAAATCTAGATAAGATAGAGTGATTATAAAAACCAATATTACAATTAATGGTTCAAGCAGTAACATTTCATGGACTGGCAGATGTGTGATAGACTAGAGGTCATATAATTTAATATAATAACTGATTTGAAGTTTTTTGGTTGGTTTGGTTAGTATTGAGATATGAGATGATTTTTAAGCAAAGTCCTAAATTTATAAGTAGTCAGGGGATCCTTTACCAGTTCAAGTAGTGAATTCCAGCTCTTCGGGCCCTTTATGTGGATTGCATTTTTGCACAGTGTGAGACTGACAAGAGAGATGTTGAAGAGTGCCTTATGCCTTGTATTGTGATTGTGCATTCTATTGTAGCTATCACGGAAAAGTTTAACCCTTTCACTGTCGGTTTTGTATTAGTATGGCTTACAACCCAGCGTTGGTGCCATATTAATAACCCAATATTCTAGTGGCTTCAAATCTAGCAGAAGTTGGTAGATCTACATGTGAGAGAATGGGTCTGCATGGTCAGTGTGCATGGTATACAAAAAATCCTGCAGCACGCAATGCATAATGAGAAAAAAAAACTCCAACCATGTTTTTGGTCTAAAATGCCGAGTTTGAGGTGTATTTTCATATGGTATTTATGGATGTATTCTCGTTTTATTGGTCTCATTTGATAGAAAAGAAGATATATTACAGAAATGGAGATGATTTTTTATTGGTTTCACGATGAAAAGTACCTTGAAATTGAGCTCAAAGTAGCATAAGTGTTCGATGTTCAAAAGTAAACAAATGATGTCACCATCCAATACGTGTCCAACTGGCCAGCCTAATATGCAGTCACAAATGGGATGACATTACAGGTCTCCCTCAGCATTCGCGAAGGTTAGGGGATCAAGAGCCTCACGAATGTTGAAAAACCGTGAATGTTTGGTGCCCCAATATATTGTAGGGAAATATATTACAATACTGCTTCCTTAACTTGTTGAACCATGAATAATCATAAAATACATGAAAACATCGTAAATTGTACTAAATATATACATGTTATGCTTTAATAACGTATGTTATTTAATAACATGTATGTTAATGTTATGGGGCTATAGGACCCAACATGTATTTATAAGTAACAGTTACTCTTGAATACCTAATTATATTGAATTGATGGGGACTTTGCTCTAAATGTCAGAAGGACTGATCAACCTTATGACTGAGAGGCAGCTGGGTCAAGCCTATTTTTCTCAATATAATAGGTTATCCTATAGACACACACACAATTTAAATAAGTAGTTTATAAAGTTGTATTTCTTTTTGTAAAAGTAAAATTAAGGTGTGGTAGAATTGTGGTAACTGGAGAATTGTGCTTGGCAACAGTCTTTTGTTTTGGTGGGAGGAGCTTAGCCAGGCTCTCTCTCTCTCTCCCTCTCACTGACTCTCTCTCTCTGTGGCTGACCTTCAACCTGGCAGGATCTCTGGGTCCTTCTTCTATCTTTTGGGGCATTATGTGTGCTCCAGGGGTGAGTTTTTATAATTTAAGTTGTGGCCACCATACCCAGGGTGACTAAAGTGTGTCAAAACACTGGTTAGCCCAGAGTTATGTCAAGAAGAGAGAAGGACAAAAGTTGTTGGAATACACCATGTGGAGAACAGCTATGGAGTGTGTAGATCTTTGTTTTGAAAATGTGAGGCTGTAATTGTATATTCTGTACATATCTATTGAGAATACAGTTCTATTTTTATAGTAGTAGTTTACATAACCTGTGAAGAGGGCTGGTGAAAGGATATCAGAGACACTCAGGATGATCAGCCATAATGTAAGTATTACCCCTAGACAGATAAGGCCATTAAGTAAAAAGCTACCCCACACTAGAACATGTAGTGAGAACCTTACTATCAAAGTAATAAGGGACAACCAACGTAACATGGGGGCCTGTCCGGGACAGTTATTTGACTGCTAAAATAACTCAAAACATTCTTTGAACTATATGTGCTGGTATGGGGTAATAACAGTTGCATGTTTCTGGTAGAAGATTTACCAAGGTGGTGTCAGTGGAAGTGTTGTTTTCATATATTAGTTTACAGGTTGTTTTTCTCCTAAGGTGGGAGAAAGGTTGAGTAACACATTTTTGTTGTGGTTATGGTAAGTGCTATGTGCATAGTTTACATTCAATTTGTGTTATTTTATGTGCCTGTGGGAACTTTGTCCACTGATACTGTAAGAGGGAAGCAAGTGTTTAAAGATAAAAACTATGTCAGAAGATGAGTCTTCAGATTTTTTAGGCTTCAGGGAAGGTAATAATTCATCAGTAAACATGCCTGTTAACAGTGAACATGAGGGATCACCTACTCCAGGTGATATGGAAATGGAGAGAATGAGACTGAAATTAGCTGTACTAGAGGCTGAAATGAAATTAATGAAAGCTAAGGAGGAAGAACGTCAGAGGTTAGGAGGTTCAGAACAAGAGCCTGAGCAGTACTTTAACATAACTAAAGCTGCAAATTTTGTCCCTAAGTTTACAGAGAGTGACCCAGATAGATATTTTTCTTTTTTGAGAAGACTGCTTTGAAGCAAGGATGGCCCAAACAGAAGTGGGCTACCCTAGTTCGCACACAACTTGTGGGTAAAGGATTCCAGAGAGTAGAGACTCTGGAGGGGCAAAATTTTCTGATTATGATAAGATTAAAGAGGAAGTATTGCTTGCCTACCAAATGATACCTGAGAAATATAGACAAAAGTTCAGGAATCAAAAATTTCAGGATGGGCAGACCTTAACTGAGTTTGGGAATGAGAAACTGTTCTTTTTTAAGAAATGGGTTTGTTTCAAAGGAGTTAATAAAGACTATAACAAATTAGTAGATCTGATGGTTCATGAGGAATTGTACAATACAATCCCTGTTGACCTCAGAGAGTATCTGGAGGACAAAAACCCAGATAATCTTTCAGAAGCACTGGATCTAGGTGACAGATTCTTGGCTCGCAGGGAATTGGTAAGTAAAAACAGTCATGCTGCTTCTGAAAATTTCCCCACTCATTCTAAACCTTATTCCAAGTCCTATGGTCATAAAGGTAAGTGGGACAAGAATTTTCAGGGACAAATGAAGGCTGAGGTGCCCTCTAAAATAGAAGGAAAAGGTAAGTCAGCTGGAGTTCAAAGTTTACCTAGACAATCAGATAATGTTTCAGGTCCTCGAGTAAACAGTACCAGTCCTACACCAAATGGTAAAAATACCTTTAAGAGTTTTATCTGTTACTACTGTAACAAAACTGGACACACACAAAAGTTTTGCTGGTCAAGGCGGCGAGATCAGGAAAGGGAGGAACCACCCCAGAGGACTCTAACTGCAGAGATACATCCAGTTGCCTGCATTAGGTCTTCAAGGCAAGGTGAGGAGGAACTTTTGGATCTAGACCCCAGGATGTGTATATTTTCTAGTAGGTCCGCAATTGGTTTGCAAAAGGATGTAGGCAGAGTTGAGAACATACTGTCCTTGAGAGATGGATGTAGCACCTACTCTTTGCTACGTGCTGGAGTGCTGCCAGTGTCTAAGGATACCTATACTGGAGTAGATATATTGTTGAAGGGTATTACGGGTTCAACCATAAGGACACCTGTACACAAATTATGGGTAGAATCTACATACCAAGTTGGCTATCTCCCTGTAGGTATCTCAGATGAAATTCCCTTCGAAGGGGTCGACCTCTTATTAGGGAATAATGTTATGGGCCTGTTAGACAGTGAAGAACCACTAGTATGGGGGCAACCAGGCCCCAAAGTTTGGGAGAAGGAGGCTAGGGAGACCCTACCAGACCTTTTCCCTGTTGGTGCCATCACAAGAAGTGTGTCTCATGACCAGGATACCAAGGGTAATCCTTATATTTCTCATGAGGATGGTGAGAACTTAGGTTTGGAAACTCTATTTCCTGAGGTTGAACTGCAGTCAACTAAAGAAAAGGATACCATAACCCGAGTTGAGCCTAATCAGTGCAGAGATCAGTTAAATAGGGTGAGAGAGGCTGCACCTGCTAGGGTGCAATTAATTTCTGTGCAGGAAAATGTCGCTGTTGCTGAGGAAGAGATTTTACAGTTAAATAAGTGTTTTCATTTCAGGGAGGAAACTCTTACAAAGAATTCACCTCTATTTGCAGTATCGATGGAAGGAGAACAAGGGTTTTGTCCCCAGATGGTGATGTCCAAGGTTTCCAGGCATTTCTTCTGGTCTCAGCTGTGGGAGACTGTCAGAGAGTATATTGAGACCTATCATGTCTCTCAGTTTATAGGGAAACCTAGTCGAAGTATTAAACCTGTTCCCCTTCATTCTATTTCAGCACCAGGTGAACCCTTCAGCAAGCTGGTAGTAGATGTACTTGGTCCATTCCCAAGGACCAAACTGGGAAATGATTATTTACTCACAAATATTTGCTCCACTACCAGGTACCTGGAAGCAGTCCCTCTGCATAAGATAACAGCTCATGTAGTCTTAAGGGCTTTGATGAAGTTCTTTTTTCATGTTGGTTTTCCTCAAGAGGTGCAAAAAGACCAAGGGCCTAACTTTACCTCAAAGTCTTTTAGAAATGTTTTGAAGGAATTAAAAGTAGAGCCTAACTTTGCGATGGCCTATCACCCTCCATCTCGAGGGGAAATAGAGAAATTACATCAAGCCCTCAAGACAATGATGCAAGCCTATGGTATAGACAATACTAACAACTGGGATGAGAGGATCCCTTTCTTTGTAT